CCCTATCACTAGAGACGAGCTCATGAATTTCATGACAAGTTTCAAAGGGGAAATCACGAATTTGATTGATAAACGGACGACTGTTTCCACCAGGGAACAATCGGCCAAGAAGCCCTCCCATTCTGGGAGGAACAAGCCGGTTAAGGACCGAGAGGCTACTCCTTACCCTAAACCTAGGGAGGGATAGAGGCCCTTAATCAATTTAGCCAAATTCCGGTTCCCTGAGCCAGGAAAAAGGAAGGTCATCCGGCATGTTCAGTCGAAAGGTTCAATGAAAACTTATTCTGATGCCCGGATGTTGATCAAGCAGAAGAAGAACATACAACTGTCAGAGTCGGATTCAACGTCGAACTTGCAAGACAGCTTTCTGAATACCTCAATGAGGTATTCACAATCAAACCAAGAGAACCAAACAGGCGGCATGTCCGCCCACTCTAGTCCTCGGATGCTCCATGCGGCCCCGTATGCGCCTCAACAACCATACATGCCGTATGGACAACCTTACATGCAGCCTACTCTCTTTGGAGGGTAGGCGGCACAAAACGTCCAACCCTTGAACTGGCAGCTCCGGCTGCTTAGACTTGGGGAACAATCCTCTGCGTTCTCCAAGGAAATAACTTAGGCCGCACAGTCGGCGAAGGTGAAAAATGTATTGGTAGGAACCTATGATGGTACCACCAATCCAAAGGATCACCATATGGCATACACCAACCTTATGTATCTATAAGGGTTGGATGATACCGTATGGTGTCGATGCTTCCCAGCCACATTGAAGGGCATCACCCAACAATGGTTTGGCAACCTACCAGCCAGATGCATTAATAGTATCAAGATGCTTGCATACTTGTTTGCGTCTAACTTCTCAATGAACATCCCTACAAAGAAAACAAGTCTTGACCTGGGTGCAATACAGCAGGGAGAGAGAGAAGGCCTTCGGTCATATATCAGGCGGTTCAATTTGATAAAAATTCAGATTCAAGGGTTGTCTGATGAAGTGGCCTACACAGACTTTTTCAAAGGTCTAAAGGACGGGTCGGCCTTTAAGTTCGACCTTGTCAGAAAGAGGGTTGCTACCCTCCAAGAAGCACTGAGGCGGACGCCTATATACAGGCGACCGAACTTTGCAACATCAGTAAACAGTCGGACTCCAAGAAGTCTGACAAAAGAGAGAGTCGGTCATCATAGCCGGCTAAGAAAGAAGAAAAGAAAAGAAAAGAAGTCTTGGTGGCTGATACCTTTGAACAACCTTCCCAGAAGAAAAAGAAAGAAACTAAAACGTACTCCCCAAAGTACGAGTTCAATAAAGACTGTTACTCCATCCTCATGGAGATAAAAGACCGGATGACTATTGAAAAGTCGGCTGCTATGAAAGGTTTCGCCAAAAATTGGAACAATAATAAGTACTGTCATTTCCATGAGGACGTTGGCCATGACACCAACGACTGCTATAGTCTCAGCCGGCTGTTGGACCGCCTGGCTGACAAAGGGGTGCTCAAGTCCTACATTCTGAGGTCCAAGGTTACCCTGCAAACTAACCCTGGGCAGTCGTCCAAGAAAAAGTCTCAACCTGCTAATAGTTCTGATACTGATGAAGAACAGATCTATACAATAGCAGGTGGCTATGCTGGAGGCTGACATACCATTCGGGGAACCAAAGATTACATCAGCCGGCTAGATGTCAGCTCAGTTGATGAGGGGCATGCGTCGAAGGGCACTTTCCCTCAAGTTTTCATCTCTGAAGGAGACAGGGGCAATGTCAGGAGGCCGCATGATGACCCCATTGTCATCGAATGCAAAGTGGCCAACCAAAAGGTGGGCCGAATCCTCATAGACACCGGCAGTTCCTGTGATCTCATCAGCCACAAGTGCCTGACCAAGCTCAAGTACAAGCCTGAGAGCATGCACAAGGTCTTTAATCCCTTAGTGGGATTTGGGGGCGGAGTTGTGCATCCGGTAGGTCGAATAGACTTACCCATTCGGCTGGGAGAAAAGGGAGAGGGATGCCACTTGGTTGTCTGGTTCTTAGTTGTTGAAGAGTTGACCGCCTATAACATGATTTTGGGTCGTCCCACTGATAGGCATGTCGTGTACCTAAAAAAATATAACCTAACTAACCACTACTATGTAGACTGGCAAGCATGGGTCGAATCCCAAGAGACTAAGGATCAAAAAATAATTAAATAGACTCAAATTCCTACTAAACAAGAATCAATAATGATCGATTAACTAAGGAACTAATGTATGGAAAATTCGAAAATAAACTAAAGAATATGAAGAAATCAAGTAATTAAAACATCCAAGATCAAGTATCACCACAATTACGAATGATGCAATTATATTTCTACCCCTAACATACAATTCCAATTGAACGGGGAAAAGTAAACCCTAATAAATACCAAGGACCTCTCTCGAGTATCAATGGCTTCCCTAACATACAATCAAGCCTATTCTCATGGTATCATGCATATTAGAGACATTGAACACATTACTCTAGCTTCCCAATTATCAAACCCAACTACTCTCATGTTGAATATCAAACCCTAAATTGATCTACTCAAATCCGTTTAAACCCAACTCTCGTTGTGATAGAAACAATGGAATAATCGCAATACTAAATTACGTCTAACCTAGTATTGGCATAATCACAATCAATTTAGCATAGTAATTGCAAAAGTCATTAGAGAATTTAAATATTTAATTCATGTATCAATCATAATTGGGCTACCCTAGATCTTGGAATAGGGAATCTACTCACTCATAATTAAATAAACAATAACAAAAATAATTAAAGAAAACATAATTAAGAAATAAGAGATGAAAAGAAAATACCAAATTTTGAATTGAATTGAAGGCGGAAAGTGTAAATCTTGAATCTTGAATTACAAAAGTAAAGGAAAAAAAATAGAGAGAACTAGTTCTTAATAATGTGAAAATAAAAGGCTAGAATAAAACTTAATCCCAAATAAAACTTTACTTAGTATATAAATAGCCCTAGAAAGATAAGAAGATAACAAAGTTTCTTGGCGCATAATCCTCCCAGGAGGCACGGACGTGCCCCTCAATAGGCACGGACGTGCCTCTATGGCAAAAACTTTGGATTAATTCTTTCGCGATGAGGCACGGACGTGCTTCAATGGGGCACGGACGTGCCTCCTCTGCTGCGCGTATCACTCATCATAAATCAGTCATAACTTCATATCCAGAGCTCCGTTTGAGGCGTGTAATATATTGTTGGAAAGGTCTTTAAGTCTACTTTCCAATGCAATTTGAATCACTCCATTATCATTTGTATATCAAAAGTTATGAGCATAATAGTGAAAAGGTGTCATATTTGTCAAGTATTTCATCAACGTTTTGCTTCATTTCACTCAATTAGCTCCGTTAATCCTGAAATACATCAAAAACAACGAAACTACCCATAAAAGCATCGAATCATCGAAACTAAACCAAATTACACCAAAATGGACTAAAACACTCGACTAAGCTAATAAAACCAACCAAAAATAAGCTAACAAATATGCACAAAACACGACTTATCAAACTCCCCCAAGCTAAACTAATGCTTGTCCTCAAGCATTTAACCATAAATCACAAGGGAGGAGAAAGACAACTTCTCAAACCATCACAATGTGCCATCAATTTGAAATCACGAGGAAAACAAAAATAAGAGTCAATTTGCATAAAAACCACCATAAACCTCATATACTTGGAATCGACAAATATCTTACCACACATCTCCCCATACCAACTCACACAAACATGAATAGCTCTCACTTTAGTTGTGAAAATAAAAACAATAAACGCTCATGTGTTTACGGGGTGAAATATGATATCACTCAACCTAAGCATAGAATGCACATCAACTTCACATGAATCGACCTCTTTAGGCTTGCAATGTGACTTTCTCCACTTTTAATGATTGATGCAATTACGAAAATCATGAAATCCATAAAGGGTAAGCTTGGTAAAGCTCTTTTTCTTCCTTTTTTCTTTTTTTTTCTTTTCTTCCTTCTAATAAATACATTCCCTTCTTTCTCATTGTTTTCTTCTCTTTTTTTTTATCCATCACTCATAGGGCTTTAACAAGTGTAAAACACCTTCAAAATTAACCTAGAAAAATAGCTCTATGACTTTAAATGTAGGGTATCAAGAAGGGGTTAAAACACGGCTCAAATTGGCTCAACCTACGGGTGAATGAAAAATAAAAATAAAATTTATGTAGGCCTAGAATGTGGAGGCTCTATTCTCTACAAGGAAATTTCAATCATTTTTTCGCAACATGCATCATTCAAGTCTCAAACAGTCAAAGAGCAAGACCAAGAATTCAATTATATGAAGGACAACTAATCACACATGAAGAAACACGACTGAGATAGAGTGAAATCAGTCAAATATGGCTTAAAAATCTCACCGGGTACACAAACTATTCACATAAGTAGAGCGGGGAAACCATCCTGGCCACAAACCAACTCAATTCCAAGCAAATTGGTAAATGGGTTTTTGAAAACTCTTTTCGCAAAGCACACATATATGATTATTGTCATAGAAGTATAGGCATGTAATGGAATATCAATCAACACTAAAAAGAAATAAACTAACTAAATGCTAAAAGAAAATTAATATATACATGGTGAAAAGATAATCCTTCCCCAAGCTAAACCATACATTGTCCTCAATGTATGCAAAAATCAGTGTAAAATGGGCAAGGGGAGAGGGAAACAGATCTACTGATCGGAAGGGGGAAAACCATACCTCGGTTCGGAGCTAGGTTGGAAGCACGGACGTGCCTTATTTCGTGGACTCCATCTTCGTAGAATTTGCTCTTTTCACCTATTAAGAAAGAGAAAATAATAAAAATTAGAACACTAATAACCACATCAAGAATCAAAAATAAAAATAAAAAAAAGAATAAAAGAAAAGTAAAGGATCGAGAATGGGTTGCCTCCCATTTAGCGCTTGTTTATAAGGTCTTTAGCTTGACCGTAGTGATACTCATTGGCTCAACCGGGATCACCACACGAAGGGGGAACTCCGCAATGTTTCCCATGGGAATGATTGCCTCCAAGTGACTCCTTCATTTTATTGTTTACCTGCCTTATATCCGAACTCACCTTCATGTGGCCAAGCACATCATCGGGTGGAATTTTGTCCTTGCTTCTCACAAAATTTCTATCAAATACATACTTATCAAACAAAGGGTTAGTAGCATCGATTCTTAAGCAAGTACCACCATCAAATATAAAATTATGTTCATCAAAGAGCTTGAACATGACTTGTTTATCCTGGGCCCTAATGGTCACTTGTCCTTTAGGAACATCTATTAAAGCTTGACTTGTGGCAAGGAATGGACGACCAAATATAATCGGGATCTTATGGTCTTCTTTCATGTCCATAACAACAAAATCAACAGGAAAAACAAGTTCACCAACCTTAACTAATACATCTTCAACCACACCCTTAGGGAGTCTAGAGGTCCTATCAGCCAATTAAAGAGAGATAGGGGAAGGTTTAAGTCCTTGCAAGCCTAAACTCTCATATAATGAATAAGGCATTAAGTTAACACTAGCACCTAAATCGCACAAAACCCTATCGAAAAATTTCTCGTTTATCGTGTAGGGAATAGTGAAACTACCCGGATCATGCAGCTTAGGTGGTAGGTTATCATATAAGAGAGTAGGGCCCTTCTTATTTACTACTACCTTATCCTTTTGTTGATCTTTAATATTCTTCACAAAATTTGCAAATTGAGGCATTTGAATTAAAAGATCAGAAAAGGGAGTAGAGGCGTGTACCTTCTTAAGAGCTTCGCAGTATTTTCCAAAATGTCTATCGAGTACGGCTTTTGACAACCTTTGCGGGAAGGGCATCGGTTCCTCATAAGCCGGTGGAGCAACATATTTGGGACCTTGAACATCTTCGCCCCTTTCATTTTCTCTAGACTCCACACTGCACACCTTCTCATCTATTTGCATCGGAGGTGGTTCATCTCTTCTCAAGAAAACGGCATTACATTGTTCCTTTTGAACCTTCGCTTGATCATGAAGAGTTGATAAACGACTCACCTGTTGTGAAAGCTGACTTATTTGGGTTTCCATGAGCTTACTCTGGGCTTGCAACTGTTGGATGGAGCTACCTTGTTTTTGGATGGCACTATTGGTTGTGGTAATGAAGCTCTCCATCATCAAATCAAGGCTAGATTTTTGGGGAAGTAGTTGCGTTGGTTGTTGGTTCATAGGTGTTCTTTGTTGGAAACCGGGTGGTGAGTTGTAGTTGTTGGATAGGGATGGTTGTGATGGTGGATTCTGTTGTCCTTGGGTGTTCTTATAAGAGAAGTTGGGATGTTGTTTCCAACCTTCGTTGTAAGAATTGGAGTAGGGATCAAAAGGCTGTTTGGGGTTCGAAGAGTAGAAAGCATTGGCTTGTTCAATAGACATCTCACTCATATTCTGCGGGCAATCCGGTGCGATGTGGCCCTGCACATTGCACATTTGACAAACCTCCAGCGGGCTAGTAGAAGTTCCAGCTTGGAACTTATCAAACCTGCTTGTTAGTGCCCGCACAGAACTGGCTAACATAGTCAAAGCATCTACATCAAGCTTACCTCCTTTTTTCACATTCTGACGACCTCCTGGATGATAATTATCATTGGCCGCCATCTTCTCAATCAGCTCCTTTGCCTCAGTTGGGTTCTTTGTCAAGAGGGAACCCCCTGATGCAGCATCAATGTAGATTCGGAACTCATGGGTTAGGCCATTATAGAAGGTTTGAATCAACAACCACTCTAGGATACCGTGATGAGGGCATTGTCTCTGTAACCTCTTGAAACTTCTCCAAGCCTCATAGAGAGACTCGTCATCTGACTGTCGGAAGGTGGATAGCTCGTTCCTCAACCTGACAGTCTTTTCATGTCCCAAAAACTTCACTAAGAAGGCCTTCACTAGATTGTCCCATGTATCGAACGAGCCAATGCCTTCATCTCTCAACCACTCTTTCGCCCTATCCCGCAGTGAAAAAGGGAAAAGGCGAAGTCTGATAGCATCATCTGTAACACCATTCATTTTCATAGTATCACATTTCTCCAAGAAACTATCGATGTGACTCACCGGACAATCATGCGGTGAGCCTGCAAATGAATAATTGGAGATGAACTGAATGAATTGTGGCTTCAGCTCGAAGTGCTGGACCGTCACAGGTGGCCTGACAATGCTAGATAGGAGTCCAGTAGTTGTATCAGGAATACCGTACTCCAAGAGAGATTTCGTGGCATCTTCCATGTTTCTGTTGGCTTGGTTTCTCCTTCTTCTTCTACCTGCTCGTCTTCTTGCGGTTGCTTCGATTTCAGAATCAAAAGGTACTAGATCTTCTAAACCTGAGCGTCGTGTGGGCATGCAACAAGAAGACTAGAGAAAGAGTATCAAAAACACAAGAGAAAATAGCCGAAGCAACGAAATAAGCCTAGCAAAAACGAATCACAAATAATCTAATGAAACCGTTAGTCCACAGCAACGGCGCCAAAATTTGATAGGCGTGTCGCGTACCTAACAAAATATAACCTAAATAACCAATACTATGTAGACTGGCAAGCAAGGGTCGAATCCCAAGAGACTAAGGTTCAAAAAATAATTAAATAGACTCAAATTCCTACTAAGCAAGAATCAATAATGATCAATTAACTAAGGAACTAATGTATGGAAAATTCGAAAATAAACTAAAGAATATGAAGAAATCAAGTAATTAAAACATCCAAGATCAAGTATCACCACAATTACGAATGATGCAATTATATTTCTACCCTAGCATACAATTCCAATTGAACGGGGAAAAGTAAACCCTAATAAATACCAAGGACCTCTCTCGAGTATCAATGGCTTCCCTAACATACAATCAAGCCTATTCACATAGTGTCATGCATATTAGAGACATTGAACACATTACTCTAACTTCCCAATTATCAAACCCAACTACTCTCGTGTTGAATATCAAACCCTAAATTGATCTACTCAAATCCGTTTAAACCCAACTCTCGTTGTGATAGAAACAATGGAATAATTGCAATACTAAATTACGTCTAACCTAGTATTGGCATAATCACAATCAATTTAGCATAGCAATTGCAAAAGTCATTAAAGAATTTAAAGATTTAATTCATGCATCAATCATAATTGGGCTACCCTAGATCTTGGAATAGGGAATCTACTCACTCATAATTAAATAAACAATAACAAAAATAATTAAAGAAAACATAATTAAGAAATAAGAGATGAAAAGAAAATACCAAATCTTGAATTGAATTGAAGGCGGAAAGTGTAAATCTTGAATCTTGAATTACAAAAGTAAAGGAAAAAAAAATAGAGAGAACTAGTTCTTAATAATGTGAAAATAAAAGGCTAGAATAAAACTTAATCCCAAATAAAACTTTACTTAGTATATAAGTAGCCCTAGAAAGATAAGAAGATAACAAAGTTTCTTGGCGCATAATCCTCCCAAGAGGCACGGACGTGCCTCTATGGCAGAAACTTTGGATTAATTCTTTCGCGATGAGGCACGGACGTGCTTCAATGGGGCACGGACGTGCCTCCTCTGCTGTGCATATCACTCATCATAAATAAGTCATAACTTCATATCTGGAGCTCCGTTTGAGGCGTGTAATATATTGTTGGAAAGGTCTTCAAGTCTACTTTCCAATGCAATTTGAATCACTCCATTATCATTTGTATATCAAACGTTATGAGCATAATAGTGAACAGATGTCATATTTGTCAAGTATTTCATCAACGTTTTGCTTCATTTTCACTCAATTAGCTCCGTTAATCCTGAAATACATCAAAAACAACGAAAATACCCATAAAAGCATCGAATCATCGAAATTAAACCAAATTACACCAAAATGGACTAAAACACTCGACTAAGCTAATAAAACCAACCAAAAATAAGCTAACAAATATGCACAAAACACAACTTATCACCCACCCTAAATGAGTCCAAAGCTATTATCATTCCTTTTCAGTCCTCTTTCATACTTAGCCCCATCCAGAACGACTTCACCTTTCTTGAAGTAAATATTGCCCTCCTCCTTTGAATCTTTTGCTTGATTAAGGTTGTTCCGGGGACAATTATTATTGGCAAAGTTGATAATTCTTTCGTCAAAATCATCATTCAAGTAGGTGTACGTAAGGGCGTTAAGTAAATTCCGGCAGTCCATAACAAACTCTCTCACCCAAAAGGGAAATGGTAAATAAATTCACGAAAGGAAAACACACAAACAGTACCAACACAGAAAGAAACAAAGTGAAACAGACCCTGATTCCAGGTCGCAACCAAGAGGGATTCAGCAGAGCTACAGTAACCAAGCTCAAACACAAAGCAACACTACAAAATAAAATAACAAAACTTCCAAAGAAGCGAAAGAGGGGCAGTTGCAGTCAATCGATGGTCGAACCACCACCCCAAAAAACAGAAACCTTGCTGGCGTAAAAAGAGGAGCGTCCAAGGGTGACAAGCCGACAACCGTCGTGAGACCCGATGCGAGAAATCGGCTGGTTCTAGACAAAGGCGATGGGAGACCGAGATCGCAGTTCGGCCTGTTGATCGGATCTCCCTCACAAGCCCAACGTTCCTCGACCAACGAGGACACAGGGCAACCATGATCTGGGCGGAAATGGACTCGCCAGCAATCGAGAGGGGGGACCACCTACTCTGATCGCCGGCGGCCCGCCTGGATTGGCAGAAGGGGGTTGGTTTTTGAAAATTAGGAGCTGGTTTTTGAAAACTAGGGGCTTGAAAAAGTATTCTGTTTTGGGTTTTGGGTTTTGGGGCTTGCGCGTGGGGGGCGTTCACAATATCATCACTTTATTTTCTTCTTCCTTAAATTTTCAATGCTGGCATTATCACTTCTGTTTGGCTTCGATTGTCTATCGTCACTTTATCACCAAATTCTGTTATATATTCTAATAGTGTAAGTTTCATGTTCAATTTGTCAATTCTTTTATTTTTGAGCTTTTATCTCTGAATTTTTTTGTTTTGAATTTTGTTAGGTATTCGTTTGACAAACTGAATTTAATCAAGAAAAATGAAATAAGTACCAAAAAAAAAAAAAAAAAAAACAAAGCTTGAAATTTAAATATATTGATCAGTGGCAATCGATGTGCACTTGTGCTTCTAATGAGACGGTGAAACAAAGGTAACGGATTAATAGAGTTTTTTTTTTAAAAAAATTGGGTTCTAATTACCTCCTCCATTTATTTATAGTTGCAACATACACTTTATTATTCTATTTAAGAATAATGGACCTCACATAATAGAGAGGGAGTCCCAGTTGATCTCAGAGATTAACATTCCATTTTATCTCCTCTCACAACTTTATGCATTGAAATCTGTGTCACTTAATTATTTTACATTTATCATTTAAAAAATAAAAGAAAATGATTAGGTTGTGAGAGAACATATATTCACAGATTTATCTCATAAAGAAACTTAAATTTACCCCATGATATAATACACTTAAAATGGGGTTAAGACGTTATTACTTGTTAGTAGTATAATCAAGTGGGCCATGACCTTTAAATAATTAAAAGTAATAATACAATTTTCACCATAAAAACCTTTCTTTTATAGTGTGTTGCAACTATTGTGGCATTTCCAATTTAAGAAAGTGTTACAACTATAAAGAAACGGAGAAAGTATATATTTACGGAATGACACTGTTCATGGCTATATATCAAATTTTAGGAAATCACACATTGTACTTTTATAGTAGGAAAACTTTGATAAATTAACAATATATAACTAATAGGGGTGTAAATTCGGGTAAATGGTTATTTTCAGGTTGGGTTTATCGGTTTCGGGTTATAACATGTCAGTTTATAACGGGATAAAATTATTAGTGGATCGGTTTGGGTCGGTTTTGAAAATTATCGGGTTAGTTCGGTTTAGTTTTTCTTAATTGCGGTTTCTGTTCGGGTCGAGATCTAATCGGATCAGGTTGTAATCGAGTCGGGTCATAATCAATTTGGCTTGAATTGGATCGGTCTGAAAACGGTTTGTAACCAATTTAAAGCGGGTTTCGATTAAAAACATTTTGAGTCCTAATCAGGTCAGGTTGTAATCGGTTCGGGTCATAATCAATTTAGGTTAAACTGGGTTGGTTTGAAAACGAGTTTCGGTTCAAAACATATCGAGTGAAATCGTGTCAGGTCATTATCGAATTAGCTCATAATCACTTTGGATTGAACTAGATTGATTTGAAAATGAGTTTACCCAATTTGAAGTGGGTTTCAGTTCAAATCATATCGGGTTAAAATCGATTCAGATCATTATCAATTCGAGTTAATCAGATAATGGGTAGGAATAGGTCAGGTTATAATCGAGTTAAGTATTAAAAAAGTTGGGTTAAACGAGTAGTGGGTTGAACGAGATCAGATCATAAACATATTGGGTTACGTGTTGTAAACGGTTCAATCATAGCGGGTTACGGGTAGAAACGCTTCGGTCTCAACGGGTAACGGGTTGTAAACGGTCGGTCTCAACGGGTTGCGGGTTGAAAACAGTTCGGTCACAACAGGTTATGGGTTATAAACGGTTCGGTCACAGCGAATTACGGGTTGGAATGGTTTAGGTTTATCGGATTTTTGCCAAGTTTAAAATGGGTCGAATTACTATCGAATTCGGACGTAATTGGTTCGGGTTGTTTTCGGTTTAGGGTTGTAAAGGTTTGGCTTGATAACGGATCGGGTCATTAACGGTTTGCACAAATTCGGTTAAGTTCAGTTTCGGGTTGGAAAAAATTGGGTCGGGTCAATTTTCAAAAAACGAGTTTTTAACGGTTCAAGTTCTTTTCAGATCAATTCGAAACAGTCGGGGTAAGCAATTTTGGTAAGAAACTGACAGTTCTAATCTAATATATATAAATAAAGTAGGCATTTTTCGAGAGCATTCATAGCGCCACATAAGTAATCTAATTATTTTGACCAATGATAAAAGAGATTTATATTTTATTTTCACAGATTCTTGTATGTGGCTGGCCATACCGTGTGGCTAGCTATCATAGGGGTTACTTCGTCAGTTTTAGGGGTTACTTGGTCAATGTTAAAGGGGTTACTCAGTCAATGTCATAGGGGTTACTCGATCAGCGTTAAAGGGGTTACTCGGTCAGTGTTATATGAGTTACTTTGTTCTTCTATAAGTTGTCACACGGCGTGGCCAGCCGCAAACAAGATGAGTTGTTTTATTTTTGAATTAAAAAATTATATCGTCACCTAGGTAAAAGTAACGAATT